CCCCTGAAATGATTTTCAATTATCTTTATCACAGCAACTTGCAGCATTGATGGTGATGGGCTTCTATGGCATGTTATACTTGATTTTAACACCTATACTATACCAAATAATTGAACCTGATCCAAACTCTTCACTGAAATGTAATTATAAGTTATAATGATTTAATGTTTTCTTTTTTTACATTTAACTATCAGTCTTCAAATACATCTCTTCTTGACATTTGGCCCGGTAGTGGTTGAATCCAAACCTACTAGAAAATAACATAGCTCATGTGAAATACAGTAACTGTATCAAAAGACAAAAAAATATGTCAATAAAATACAAAAATATGTAGGAATAAAAAATTTAAAACACTCTTATGTTTTTAACTTGAGTTTGACCCCTCTGAGCTGGAGGTCCAGAGTCAGTGGTTCTTTTTAGCCTCAACAGGTAATATGTTATTGGACTCCCTCAGATCAAGTGATTCAATATTGTTCTGCCTCACTGTCGTCAGACACGGGCATGTTTGCTTTGTGTGTTTGAGCTCAGAGCTGTTCTTTGGTAAATAAACATTATACACATTTCCTGTGGATGTTTGCCATTGTCTGATATGGGTCGACTAACAGGTTTAAGATTAGGCTGCAACATATTTGTCTATTAATGTAACTGCAGAAAAAACACCTGCTTACTTCATATACGGTTATCCTGCTTTTTTCTTAGCAGCTTTCACTTTAAAACTACTTTTAACCATGTTCTCTCTTTAAAAACAGACTTGAAGTTGATTTTAGGTCCAGCCACACTGTCAATAGCTTTTGGCACAAACATGTAACTCCATCCTTCTGTAAAAGCTCTTTTCTCCGGCCTGTAATGGTATGATGTCATTGTACCACTATGACATCATGCTCAGAAGTTTATTTGCCTTTAAAAACAAAAATATTACCCGTAATTTAGTTTTGACAATTTCTCAAGTGAAATTAAAATTGCTCGGTTGTGTTATAACTTTCAAACAAACACAATCACCTCCTCCCCGCAGTGGTAGCACAGGGAGTTACGGGCAGGACGCCTTTTTTATTTTTTGTACGCTTGTTTCACCATTTGTTTCACCATATTTATTATTGTTTTCAGAACACCAGGTGCTCTGAAAACATGCATAATGGGGCTGTGGATCGAAACTTGTCTTGAGCTATTTATTTAGATTTCACATTCTATAACGTGAAATGACAAAATAAATAGTCTCATTATTGTGTTTAGCGGCCATTATAGTGTTTATCCTTTAAGATGAAAACCGATGTGAAAACATACACAATAAAAGACAGAAAAATAATGTAAAATCGCAACATAATCTTAATGTTAGTATGAAAACAATAATTTAATATTAAAATCACACAAAAATAACAAACCTAACAAAAGTTGCCAGAATTTTTACGTAAAATAGGGGGGGTTACAGTGTACTTATTATTTTGAAAATATGCTCTGTAAAATGTTGACTATAAAAACAGGCTGTTTTGTTAATTGATGTTGTGTTAAAGTTGTAGTTAAAGACCCCTGAGGACAGATAACTAATGTAATGCTAACGGGCTTGGTCCAAATGACACGTGTCATCAGTCAAAGCGGGACATTGGCGCTGAACCTCATCAGAGTAAATGAATTGTGCCAAAACCCTGATTATTCGACCCACCAGCCCCTGTGAGAGAGACTGGGCCAACATGGGAGGAGTGCAATGGCAGCAAAATTTCAGTCATAAAACAGAACAAAATACACATGCTTTGCTTAGATAAGATAAGAAATGGGAGTTTTAAAGGGGAGATGGTTTGGTTAAGGCCTACATGTGTCTAATAGATGTGAATTTGTAAAATCTCACATACTCTGTCAAAGTTTTTAGCCGCTTGAAGGAATGCTGAAATAGTTATAGCAGGATTGCGCAAACTCTGCTGGACTGTTGAGATGTGTCATTATGATAAGTGGCGCTGGTTACAAGTTCAGTGAAGACATAGGTTTTTGAAGATTAGGCAAATACCACTGAGTTTAGTCGTTAGGGGAAATTCTCTGCATCAGCCACTTCCTTCAACAGTAGCTCTCACAGATCCGGGTCTTGCTCAGGTTTTTCACTTTGTGCTTTTGTTTTGGTTGGATGAAGAAAAAAAAACGGTGGCATGGTGGTACTCATGCTTCTCAACATGGAGGTTCTGGGTTCAACTCCTGGTCAGCACAAAAAATCACATCAAAAAAACAAAAGTTTTGCCAAAAATCAATTGTTTTTTTTTTTATTTTTGTTTTTTTACTGTGTATTATTACTTGAAAAATGTGAGCAACAGTAACTGACAGTAACTGAGTACTGTAAATGACAAGTATCATCAGTCAAAGCGGGACATTGCCGCTGAACCTCATCAGTGATGAAGTTTGCATGTTCTCCCCCTGTCTGCGTATCCACCAGGTGCTCTGAAAACATGCATAATGGGGCTGTGGATCGAAACTTGTCTTGAGCTATTTATGGTGTATTTGCAGCAGCTGTTCAATAAATGAAGTACATTGAAAATAAAGAATGTTAGTGTGGAATACTTTAATTTGTAAAGGACAAAGGCAGCTCAAAGTGTGTCTCAAAACAAGACTGAATCCTCCATCCATCCACCAGCACCTCACTGATCCTCCTGCAGGTGGTGAGTCCACAGGAGCCTTGATCTTTCAGCAGGGGCTTCAGGCAAAGTGGGGTAAGTGTCTTGCCCAAGGACACAACGACAGCAGTCATCAGTGGGAGTCAGTGGAGAGGGTTTCGAACCCACGACCATCAGGCTTAAAGGCCAATGCTCTACCAACTGAGCTAGCCTGTACTAAGGTGTGGTACAACCAGGCTACAACTGAGCCACTGTCGCCCTATATATGAATTTTTGATTGCGTATAAAGGATCTGTTAAGCTTAATCTTAATACTCTAGAGTAAAAGTCCTTCAGCTCCAGTAGTCCTGCCCAAGCCGAGCATCAACACATGCAACCCATCCTGCAAAGGTTGCAGGATGGGTCAAATGCAGAGGACACATTTTTCCTTTGGGGAAAACTAAACTTAATCTTAAAAACAAATAAATGCAAACATAAATATCAGATAGATAGTATAGATAAATAGATAGATACCTTACAGATCTCGCCTAGGAGAAATGTAGGTGTGCAGCAGAAGACACACCGCTAGGCATTAAAACGCAATTATAACAAAAATAGTACTGACAATAGTAAGAAAGTGCACATATTTAATCACAATACATGAATAAAATAGGAGTCCAGATCAACCTCCAGTGGGTGAAGTTGCTTGCCGGACACAACAACAGCATTCACACACTGGATGTTGTGCTGCAGTTAAACATCATCACATTGAACAGTGTTTGTGAGATCTGTTTTTTGGTTATGAACAAACAAACGGACATATTTATATAGTTCACTCCCATCCCATGTACGGTCCTATTCCCATGCTAAAGACCCACATACTGACCAGTTTACATATAGGACCACTCAAATAAACTAAACCCCGTTCAATGCCACCCACAATCCTCTGGAATCAAAACACTGAGATGGATGTGAAATTCTAACATACTTTAAAGACGTTCAGAGAGCAAAGCACACACATCTGAAAGTTGGTGCCACGGCCTATTTCCTAATCAGTCAATCTTTTTCCGTAGATGTTTTTCTTACTGTAGTCACATATGCGGACACTGAAGCTCTGGATGTCAATCAAACCAGCTGAGCAATGAGAAATACCTCAGAGCCGCGCGTCAGTGAGCCGTGACCACAGATAGAGGTCGTAAACGAGACTGTGATAAGGCTTCTACGCGGTGGAGGGCGACACCTACCGGACAGATATAGAACTGCTCTATAAGATTATTTGTGTTAAAGAAATATTATTTATTATGTTGTTTTTATTTGATCCAACAATATTCGTTTAAGTAATCTGAGCATATCTGCAGATGGCTGTTCTAAATAGTTTCTGAGACAAATATCCTCATACCTGCTCGTCAAAGGCAATTCCCATCAGATCGCTCAAGATATGCAAGTGTGATGCCAGGGTTCCACAGTATCAGGTGTGGCTCTTGTATAAACATTCCTCAGTATTGACCATGTGTCTGTTTGTGCAGCTGCGCTTTTGTGTGTCTGATTGGCATGGTTAAAGGGGCCAATGGTGCAGATCTGCCGCCATATTGCCGTCAGTCTGCCCCAGGACACATGTCGTGGTTGTAGCTTACTGAGTGAATTATTAATGCAATGAAATTTTTGCATTGGTGGTGTTTGGTGAAAAAGTTTGTCCACCACAGCACTGATTGTTTTAAACCAAGACCAAGAAGTAGGCTTCTGGCTGAAACAAAATGACTGCTTTAATTAAAATGACTCATTTAATTATAGAATGTCCCATGAAGTGAGAAGAATGGTGCTTTTGTTGTCATTTGACCACATTTGAGTCGTCCAGCTGGAATCAGTGAACTGAAAAGCACAACACGCGTGGTCTGGACCCAGGGTTTCCTAGATAACCAACCCAAATCATGTCCAAGAGGTTGGTGACACTTTGGGCAGTCAGGGTGGTCCTCTTCTTCACTTTTGTCTGAAGAAGCTGATCTCAGCACAAAAAATAAGACTCAAATCATACGTGCATGTGAGATTGAGCTGTTGTGAGAGCAAGGAATTGACAGGATTGTATCACATCGTTACATTTTTCGTTGATTTCAAGTTCACAATTCTACCCCCTGCTGTTTTGGGTCACTGGCCGCTTTAAACACACAAAAGAGCCCTGCATCTCTTCCCCTTCGCGTCCCTCTCAGAGCTTTGCAGAATAATGAGCCGTAAACAAGTGGAGATGGTGATGTGGGGAATGTGGAGGCCGAACTCGAACCATGGAGGGGAGAGAGGAGGTGTTTCCACGGTAACCGAGTCAAGCAGTTTGGATCACATGGGACAGAACACTGGGCCAAATGAGAGAGACAGAAAAGGCATTTGAAGTTGGGGAGAAGCGAATGGCTGCAACATCAGAAAACTCCACACAGTGATTATGGAAAAGCCTTTGAACAGGACGGACTCTCTGGTGCAGGAAAACGATGAGATAACCTCTGCTCTGTTTGGTATGGCATGCATTTACAGTTTGCTTTTTCGCTCATTAACAGAGGTATAGAGTAGCCACAATGTTACTCTAGTGAAAGTAATGATACATTGAACATTTTACAAGTAAAAAAGTAGTGAGCCAATGATTACTGATGTTAGTAGGCCTACAATTATTTGAAGAAACCATGTACAAAGTCATAAATAAAACAACATTTACAATTTATTGAACTGACAAGACATTTCTAAAAACACAGATGGGGGTTGAAGAAATGTAGTTTAATCTTGTCACCAATTATGTTAAATAAAAAGTTATTTATTCAAGACATTGATTAAAGCTGAGGGACCTAACAACTTTTTTGTGTGTTTGTCCTAACAGGAAAAATCTTGTAAAAAATGTGAATCACAAGCTTGATTTTATTGGTGGTTGGGGCTGAGAGCTGATTGGCCGAGAGGGTGCTCCTTCCTTTTCCACTTTTCTGTCTGAAAAATCAGATCTAAGGATGTGATAAAATAATACATGCTTGTGAAAACTAATGATAAAACAAAGCTTTTTTAAGAGCAAGACACTAGTCTTATTACAGAGTTCAATTCTTTTGTCTGTTTTGAAAGTTAGGTACCCCAGCTTTGAGTAAATGGAGTAAATGTTGCGCAGCTCTAGCTTATTTAATTTTTATCCCAATGATATACTTTTTCCAGAATCTAAAGTTTTCAACCTTGTGATCACCTCCCTGGCCTTGTGCGTCCTTGCTGTTACTGGAGTCTACTGCATCAGCGTCTGTTACAGTCGGACCAGGTAATGTGTCTGTTCACACATACAGTTTTAAAATCAGGAATGATAATACTTCTGAATGTTAAACTGCATATATTTTTATATTACATGATTTTTCTATAATGAAGTAATACTGACTGGATCACACACAGGTATAGCTTTGTAAGGGCCACTTTTCAGTATTCCTCAGCATCTGCATCCCTTTGTCCAAGATAACTAAACTGTTTTGAGAGCAAAAACTCGTTGAATTAATTTTATTGCATTATTTTTCCTATTTCTATGTATTTGTTTATTTCAAGAAAATAGTCTTCCAAGACCACAAAAGAAAAAAAAACAATACAAGAATGAAAAAATACAATCACTCACACACTGATGCTTGAAAGGGAGGGAAGTATATAGTTAAGAGTACCCTAGCTTTAGCCCTTCACTTTCTCCTACTCATCAGGTGTAATAATAATAACACTATGATCATATTATCGCTGGTGTTTTAGGCAGTCCAAGAGAGCCCACATATACGAGAGTGCGGTGACCCAGGGGGAACCGGAGTACCCAGTGTCGGTCAAAGCGGTCAAGAGGTCCACCAGCTTCAGTAACCCTTTGGCTTTTCTGAGGCGGTCGGAGAGGGCCAAGGACAACTCCCGCATCTACTACATCTACAGCAACCCTCTGCCCGTGGGCCTGACCGAGGATGAGGAGAAGGAGGTGGTGGCCAAAGTGAACTGGGACCCGGAGGAGAAAACCAGCTCCACGTTTGAAGAGTACGCCAAGGACCCGTACAGTGGAGTTGTACTGGACCCACCCATTTTCTACATGCAGCTTTAGTGCCACGGAGGATTGGAAATCTTTAGTTTAAAGAACGGAAAGTAGTTTTTTCATTCAAAATCTATATATTTGTGGGTCCCGAGATAATAATCACATGTAAAAATCTCTAATTGGTCGTTTTGGTGAGTTTATTCATTTTGTCAGTCTTTGGTCAACAAAAAGTAAATTGTGCCAAATATGTAGGTTTTTAACCAGACTATCCAATCAGAGACCAGAATGACTCTCTCATTTGGGTTGCCAGCATCTTTTTCACACCAGCAGAAATGAAAGCTGGTGCAAAAATAAGAAGTTGTACAATATGCATATCGTTTCTTGCTAAATCCCAGCAGGTGGGTTGCATCAGTAATCAGTGCAGAGGAGCTAAGTGTCACAGGCAGAAACATTCTGGCAACATAAGTCGGATCTTTATCAAATTAGACCAATAAAAGTACATAATACAAATGGCCCCTGTAAGACTGTATCTTGATATCTGTTGAAGTGTTGATGACCTATGACTTGTCGCCAGTATAATTTCAGTTTTTATAATAATATTGAAGGTACTTTATGTCAGTGACAGCCCTGAAAGTGTTATGTGTATCATGGAAATGCAGTTTTTATTGGTACTAACAAACGTAATGGTACCTTACATTTCACTATGCGGATAAAATGTTTAAAAATATACAGATGTGTAATTGCTCACCGTTTGTCTGCACAAAAGCATTATATTAAGAAAATGCAGAATAAATTGCGATAAAGATGACTGTTTTGATTACATTTATTAAAACTGGAGGTACAATGTGCTTTACAAAAGAGGCTGTGAGTGAGGCAGAGTGAGAGAAAATACAGATGATGATGATGATGATGACTGCTGAGATGTTCCGCTCAGACGATGGGCTGAGTCTCTCGGATGAGCCACTGCAGAGCCTCCTTCCTGCCCTGACGTTCCAGCTCTGCCCCGATCACCTCCCTGCATGTTCGGTGATACTCGTTCAGCCAGTCCCTCTGGGAGAAGAAAATCAGGTCAGGTGTTACACTTTCACACAGTTTACATAGAAATATATACAATAGGTTGCATTCATGTGGATTTCCAAAGAGTCCATCAATAGTTTGAAAATGTGGTGGAATTGAATTTGAAGCCAGTTGAAAGATCTTTCGATAACTGTCTAAGATAAGACTTCTCTGTAATGCCTCTGTAAATCCTGGGCCAACCCACATAAACAAAAAGCTGTCACAAAGATCCAATCTTCTTTGTCAGCACAAAAACAATGGTCTAATTATTTCCTCATAAAAAGTGGTGACAATACAAAACTAAAACACATGCATGTTGCAAGTATGTTCAGAAATCAGAAATGGTTAACTTGTGAATCGAAATATGATCAAATTATTATAAGGGAAAACCTTTAGACATTTTCAACATCAACATTTTGTTCAAAAAAGGCTTCTTTTCTATAAAGTTGTATTGGCACCAGCCTCCAACTGAAATAACATTCAACGACATGAACACAACCTATATTGGAACAATAACTTACAAATCACTTAAAATAAAGTTTACTCCTTTGTTTTATTGTACAATTCCTACTCAAAATGCAACAACCACCATCACAATAAAAAAATCTGATAACAACCCAAGCTCTGAATACGTCAAACGAAGGATAGAATGTTTAGTCTTTCTGTTTGAAGACTAAACGGTTGGGTCGTCTGTTTCATTCATTAAATGGTTCCCGACATCTCCAAGTTCCCATTGAACATGAATTGCTGATCCGACAAATTATAAAGGATCTTTTTTAATAAGGTATAAATAATGCATTGTCATTCCACCATTTATGGAAACTCTCCAAGATGTCGTGTCTTATTCAATTGCTCAAAATAACTCTTGGCATCAAATCACACTCAACAAGTTGACTTTATTTCCTTGTGGTTTATCTGGTTGAATTATTAACCTGATAACGCTCCAAGGGGATATCAAACAAAGCAGGTAAATAAACACAGAAACACTCCTTACCTCCTTTCGTGTGAGCAGCTCTGTGGCCATCATTTTGACTTGAATGGGAACTAGAGTCAGGGGTTCAAACGTAAGACTTCCTCTGTTTCTGTAATTGTACTGAACGAAAAATAAACGGTTTTAGTTCAGCTATTGTCAAAACACAAAAATGTATTGTTTTTCTACAACGTTCCTCACTTTAGGTTTAGCAGGCACCACAAGAACAACATTTTCAACACGAATCCCGAACGCTCCGTCCTCATAGTAGCCAGGCTCTGAAGAAGAAGAATGTCAGATCAAATGTTTCAAAATAATCAATGAATAAGCTTGTATTTTGCACCATCGCTGACGATCATTCCTGCCTCCAAGGGTTCATCTGCAAAAGTCTTGTAACTGATGCCGCACGGGCCCTCGTGGACGTTTAGAAAACAGCCCACACCGTGTCCTGTCCCATGGAGGTAATCCAGCCCAGAGTCCCACAAGGCGGCACGCGCAAAAGAATCTAACAAGTGGCCTGGATGGAAAAACGCAAATCCAAATATTTTAAGAGTATGTCACTTACTATTACTGTATATAAAATATGCCAATTACCTTTGGTTCCATTTGGGAAAATGGCAGCGCTGACGGCAATGTGTCCCTTCAGCACATAAGTAAAGCATTCCTACAAAAATAAACTTGATGTATTAACATGTGTATGATTACTGATATTATTAAGTCAATGAGTTACATAACTCACCTTCTCAAAAGGTGACGGGGCCCCAAAGTGCATGGTGCGGGTGACGTCTGTAGTTCCATCACTGAAAGCAGACATTTAAGTGAACATTATCCAGAGATATTATTAATACTGTGTGCAATGACACAAACAGCAGTCTTCCTCTCGATAGTATTAAAATAGTATGAAGGTGGTACTGCCTTTGCTTACATGTACTGAGCTCCGGAGTCAATCAGGTAAACTTCATTCACTGTAAGAGTTCTATTGGTTTCCGGCAGTGGTCTAGAAAAACAGTTTAAGTAAAACACATGAAGTATTGCAGGTTTAAGTCATTAGAACATGAAAACTCACGTGTAGTGTATGATCGCTGCATTAGGTCCAACACTTGAAATAGTGGGAAAGCTTAGGCCGACGAAATCTTTTTGCTGGCTATAAAGAAAACCCAATAGTTTATTTAATAATATAATATATAGATTATGAAACAATAAAAAAATGAAATAATTAATAAGTGGTAAGAAATAAATGATGCTGCAAATATTATATACACTATATATCCTCATGTTGGACCACACATTTAAGAACCAACAAAATGCCAAACCTGCGGAATTCTTCAGCTTTGTCAGCTGCAGATATCTCTGTCACTGTTCCTTTGGGAATCTAGAAAAATAAAAATAAAATAAGAACAAGGATATTGTACAATATGGTAATTTTTTTATGTTTGACGGCACACCTCTTTTTCTAACCAGGAAAAAAGCTCACACAGAGCTACTGCGTCTTTGATCTAGTATAAAGAGAAAAGGTATTCATGTTACATTTGTATTTATGACAGAGACGGTATATTCACACACAAGACTTACATGGGCCATTCTCATTCCTTGAACCTCAGTTGGGTTCTTCACAGCTTTGGCCAAACACAGGGGAGTGTAGGGAATAGGAGACCGGTGATTCTAAAATAAATCAAATGTAAAATTCCTTCTCACAGCAGTAAAAGCAGACTGTAGGTCAAAGGCAGCAGTAGTGCAGCACATTGCAGATGATAGTAATAATACAAACCTTGGGGATGGCCTGTGTCAGGGCACAGCTGGCCTTGTCACAGATCCACACTTTGTCTTTGGGGCCGAGTGCAGAGCAGATCGCCTGCAGCTCAGAGTGAACGGCCTCGTACGGAAACGTGCTGATGCTCAGCTCTGGTTTGAGGGGAGAGTCCAGCTGAAGGTGGGACCTCAGTGCTGCATCATTCAGCCTCTTCTGGTCAATGAAAAACCTGACGGACAAGTTTTTATCATTTTTTACGACCAGTCATTAGAAAAGTGTCCGCTCACATTTGGACACTACTACTCCAAACTCATATCTAAACAAATCTTAAATCAAACCAACATTTCACTCACTAGAAATTAGTTGCATACGTTACAATCATGTATCTGTCTTTCTATATGTCAAGTTCTAAATTTCACATAATTCTGCCCAGGCTTACGTCTGTCTATGTCACACTTTGTATTATGTGCTGTACATTTATCTGTTACTAAAACTAAAAACTGTCACTTGTACAGAAATGTTCATTTATACAACAAAATGAAAAGAACAAGTGGGGTCTTTTATTACCTTATTGTGTTCATACCCACGATAGCATACGCAAAGAAAACCGGGTTGTATTCAATGTCTGCACCGCGGAGGTTAAAAAGCCCTGGAAGGAGAAAAAAAATGAAACCAATATGATTATTGTTTTCTTGTAATTACTTAACATGTAATCATAATTTTGTAGATGCCTGAAGAAATTAAGGCCCTCTTTTCTAAATACTACCTGTTGACAATGATAATCAGTGAAAGTCTAATTATCTCAGTCTTCAAAGTTAATCAAAACCAAGAGCTCATTAGGCCCCATCGACGAGACGCTACAACTGGCCTCTCCAACAACAGGGATGCATCTCTGGGTCCTTGGATCGTGATCAGCTATCAAAACCACCTTACATAACCACGAAGCTACAATTTAGGCATTAGAGATGGTACAAATATTAAGAATTTCTCCATATAAGTTTTATAAGGGAATTATTCTGTGATGAATCCCTTGTTCTGATAAAAAAGAAAAAATTCTTACATGCCGTCTCATCAAGCGCTGTAGTCACAAACCAGCTGATCTTCCGCTCCGTCATCTTTGTGCGCAGTGCTGTGATCTTGTCTTGCCATGTCAAACCTACGCCCCATCAGTGAAATAAACACATTTAAAATCATTCAGATTGGTATATAAACCGGCTGTCTGTTCAAATTTTACAAACGTCGTGTCCTGACCGGTGTACTCCAAGCCCAAAGTGCGCAGCTGTGTGCTGGGACGCTCAGGCCTGTCTGACCAAATCACATCGATCATGTTTTCCTGCACCGCCACAAGAGAGTGTCCTGCACTGGTGAGGGCCGTGGACATGTGCTTCCACTGGTCTGCAACACAAACACATGAGAGGACTCAATCTTAGCTCATTAAAATCACACAACAGAATAATCCACTGAGAAAATAAGGGCCTGTTCAAACATTAGCACTGGAGATTCAGTTCACTTCAGAAACAAATGCTGCCTTTATGAAGTCACTGTTTCAAAATGATAAAAAGTGAACTTTGCTTTGGCATCTCCAGAAATGAAGTGCACTAGAGTTCACTTCAAATGGACCAAGAGTGAACACATCCTAGAGACTACAACGCACCAGCAGCATAAATCCAAGGGTCAACCCCAACTTTGGAGTTTTCAGGCAGGACACTGATGAGCCAGTCCTCTTGTGAGGGAGTCTCTTTCAGACCTGCAACACAATCATACAATTATTGTAAATAGCAGAAATAATAATATTAATAAGAATGTGCAAGAACAGTGTCTTCACTTCAGATTTTTCATTCACTTGCTTGTATCAGTCTTCCTAAAAACGTTATAATACGTTCTGTACAAACAAAGCAGTACATACATTATACAGTATACTTTTAAATGGTTAACTACATCATGACATAATAGACATTTAAAAAACAGATTCACTGCTGCTGACCAAACATCTTTGTGAGGTAATTTCTCAATAAAAGGTTGTTTTTTTTTAACCTTGTGTGTTTGGCTGGTAGTCTATGTCTTTCAGGACTGAAGAGAGCGGTTGAAAACACACATTGTGTGAGCCTCAAGTGCAGGACAATACCGGGTTACTTAACAATATATGAATAATTCAAACTCAGGCTAATGATGAGTGGAAATGAATATACCTTTGTTTATATGCATAATCTGTCTCCTTGAATTAATGAAAAGAAATATGAAGTCGTCCAAATAGTACTTTACAAGTGACATTTACCCATTCTCATAAGGGTCCAGTTGTTGTCCATTTGCTGAGAGGCCTGGAGGAAGTATCGCCCATCAGTCCACAGTGCTGCATGTTGCTCCGTCACAATGGCCGTCCCTACATCACAAAACAGCAAACAAAAGGGACTTGTTTTTTCCTATTTGAAACAATATCCTTTTCTTACAAAATAAGACCGGTCACATAATAACTTTATCAATGTTTTCAATCAAAGGCAGGGTGGGGTTTCAAGTTATATCTATGGTTGAGCAATGATTTTACAATGGGCCAGACATCAACCCGAGAAGAAAGACAATACCTGCAGAGCCATTGAACCCGGAGATAAACTCACGTCTGCAATCACAGGGGGCGATGTATTCACTCTGAAAACAGAAGTGCAAACACGTCGTGACTGGTGCACAATGAGGGAAATGGGAGGAGAAAGTGGCAAAGGACAGTAATTAACTTGGAAGGTCAGGACAGACTAAATGAATCAATATGGTACAGTAGTAGTGCGTAAGACAACAATGCGAAAACAACTTTATTCCAGAAGACAAACCTGGTGGGCATCTCCAGAAGGGACGATGTAGGCATGTATGGGTTCTGGAAAGTATTTACAGTTCTTCATTGCTTGGCGCAGAAGCCGCAGCAGCTCTCCGGTGATTTTTGGAGACATGGTCGTATCTATAAAAGTAAAAGGAAATCGCATGTTTTAGATCATTTAGTCAGTTTACATAAATCCTGCATGGAACATCAATGCTTGTTTTGTGTTTTAATAATGGTAGTGGATTTTCATAACAAGGCATAACTATCTACATGTCTGTAAATGTTTATCTTTGTTGTGCTTATCATTGTGTGTTGTTGAAACAGGGCGCACATGAAAGAGTCTGCATTAACACAAATTTAAAAAGAAAAAAATATAATTAAATAAACAACCCAAAAATATGTTTGTTTGAATTTTTTCTGAATACATTAGGTAAATATTTCTACAACATTGTTTCTATGAAAGCTCAGGACCGCACCAGGAAAAAAGACTTTTGATAAGGCATAATCTGGTTTTGGAAATATTTTGATGAACCAGTTTTTCGGTATAGTCATTAAACCAGTAGTACAACTTATACATAAATTACTGACAATGAAGTGGTTTGTTTGTTACACTTTGAGATTTACGGAAACTATGCTGAATATAAATACGCAAAAACATTAATATATACACAGTCTATGGCAAAAACGAATGGGCGGCACTTGGCTGAGTGGTTAGCATTCCGCTTCTCTGCAAGAAGGTCGTGGATTCGATTCTGTCCTCAGACACCGAACACAGTAATGGGAGCAAGCTGCTATGTTTATATGGCGTTACCAAACATGTGATTTTTGCAATGATCTGATGAAGCATTCAAGGAAGGTTTTTTCTTTTTCATTTTCAGATTTACAGAAAATAAGGCACAATATAAATATGCAACAAACAAGTGGCACATGGCTGAGTGGTGAGCATTCCACTTCTCTGCAAGAAGATCCGCGGCTCAATTCCACCCCCAGACAGGGCCTTTGTTAGTGGAGTTTGCATGTTCTCCCAGTGTCTGCAGAGGTTAACTCCATTTTCCCCTACCACTAAAAACATGTACAATAGCTCCCCTGAAAAGCAAATTATGAAATCTCAGAGGGATTTTTCCGATTAAATGATTGCTCAATAATTAAATGAATAAATAGATCAAATCCACAATGCGCCACCATCTTTTTAGTAAAGAACCTTTATAGACAGTGTCATAAAGCTCTCACTCCACACAGTGATGAAAGCAGGTCACCAAAAAGGAGGCACCAAAGCTAATGTTTTTAATGGTAGGGGAAACCAGAGCCAACAGGTGAAACCTACGCTCAGAACAAAGTTTTGAGACCTCTATCCATTTTCTTCCCCTTAATCCATTTCTGGGTTGGGGGGTGGCAGTCAGAGCTGCACCCAGTACACAGAGCACCAGCCCCTCACTGATCCTCCTGCAGGAGGTGAGTCCACAGGAGTCTTGATCTTTCAGTGGGGGATTCAGGCAAAGTGGGGTTAAGTGTCTTGCCCAAGGACACAACAACAGCAGTGGGAGTCATGAAGTAGGTCTCGTGGTGGGCTCGAACCCACAACCTTCAGGCCCAAAGGCCAATGCTATACCAACTGAGCCACTGTCACCCCCAAGTTTGGAGACCTGCTTAATTCAAACGATTTTCAATTAAATTAAATACAACGTATTCTTGTATAGCCCTAAATCAAAACAACAGTCATCTCAGAAGACTTAACCAAACCGTTTGAGATCGTCAACTCAGAATCAACAGTTGAAGCACAAAAAATATAGAACACATTTAATACACTATAGAATACAAGTAGATGCAAAGGGTTTTTAATATAAAAATGGAAATTTAGTCATATGAATGCAGATTAGAAATTCAAATTGCGACAAACAGAATTACATTTGTACTAAACACTAACCAGGAAAAAAGAAAGATTTTCAATTATTATTATTATTAATAATTATAAGCATCCAAGGCATATATATAATGTATTTTCTCAGGAAAACAACCAAGTTTATTTTATTGCAAAATGTTCAACCACCAAAACAATAAATGTTAAATAGTTAAATATAAAACAATGTGTTTAACTAAATATGTGGTGCCGTTTTGGTTAACCTTTGAGTCGTGTCCAGGTCAAATTAGACAATTAGAAAAGTGTGTTGCAGAAGGACTAAGTATGCTGCAGAAGAATGAGAAAAGTGTGTTGCAAAAATAAAGTGCAAAGCAGTAATTTTGGTCTAAGCATGTGTCTATAGTGTTCAATAGGAAAAAACTAATGTAAGAGCAGTTAAAACCGGCCGGGAACACCAAATTAAGAGACAAAAAATAAACACTTCTTTTTCCAGAAAAACCTTCATAACGTAAAAAGCCGTTATAAGAAAAAATAAATCTCTTCTATTCTTTCAGCCCCCAACTAGCTCCTATCCCCCCCTCCAATGAGTTTGACACCCCTCAATCCAGTGCATTCGGAGGGAACGCTGGACAACCACTTGTGATGTTTTACCGTAAATTACTACTCAAACCCCAAACATGCCACAATAAACCCCCAACAATTATAACCTTTTAAGTCTGTTTTACCTGGCTTAGTGGAGGTCATGTTGAATGGGCCCTGACTGACTGGAGCTCAAAGTCACAGTCCACACCTGAACCTATCACCAGGCAAGATCTGCTGAGTGTGCGACGGGCAAAAACTAGTTAAATATTAAAAGATGTAATATTCAGTCATATGCTGCTTTACTAGCCATAAAACACACTGCAGAGCCTAGACCCCGTAAAAACAACAGCTGCCCAATAAGGGACAAGTATTCTCTCCAGTAGCCTTCCCATTGGCTGAGACAACGCATGAGAATCTTGTTTACAACCTGGCTGATTCAGAACCAAGATGTATTATTGTATTTAAATTATCATTTTTATTATTATTATTATTCTTATCACAGCCAAGATGATCAAATGGGTTCAACAAGATGTATTCTGCCATAAATGTAGAGCATGGAGGTATTCATTTGCACATGTCTAGCACTGGTATCAGTATTGGTCGTTTATATAGCGTGTTAAATGGGTGCGATACTTGTTAGACAGGTTATGATAAAAGGATTCACATTTTTATGACCAATGCAACACGTTTGGCTTTTGCACAGGGCGAAGCAGTCTCACGCGTGGGTGTGGGCTCCTTCGAAAACACAACATCGACGCCACGCAGCAACAACAACACGACTTCGCAACGAGCCTGGAAAAGCTCCGCCAGCTCACTTCAGCCACGCCCAAACTGGCACAGAGGTAATCCTGAACACTCACCGGGTCGTTGTGGCTCAAATCGCTCGGTCTTGTGATTAAAATGTGCCCTCCTTTCAGCAGCCTGGACCGTGTGTTAATTTACAGAATAGGAAGCTGCCATTGTGGTGCTGACGCTGTGGTCACGTGGTGCTGCGGGCCGCCAGTAGAGGAGCGGTGTTGCAGACTCGCCTCTGTATAATGGGATGGATGATACAATTTAGGGTTTTGGTACCTAATATTTACAGTCTGTTTGAAGTACTTAACTACTAGAACTTCTAGAGCAGTATTTTTTGTCTGTTCAAATCCATAGAATTCTGAAACATTCCCCTGAAAAAGGTTATTTTGTGTTTTTATTATCAACATTTTTTTTGCTTTTGAATTATATAAACTATAACAAAAAAGTATTCAGTGCAAATAAATTCAATGATTTAAAATTCAGTGTCCAAAAATTCAGTGTTTTGAATTTCAGTGTCAAAATATTCAATGTTTTTTAAGATTCAGTATAAAAAAAGTCATTGTTTTAAAATTCAGTGTCAAAATATTAAATGTTTTAAAATTCAGTGTCCAGAAATTCTATGTTTTGAATTTCAGTGTCCAAATATTCAATGTTTTAAAATTCACTAATTCAGTGTCCAAAAATTCAATGTTGAAAAAAATTCAGTGTCCAAAAATGTGTTGCATTTTTTTTCGCTGGTTGAAATGTCATGCTTGATTTTCCGGGTGAACTGAAATTTAAAACAGCTCTTCTCTTCTGGGAGTTACAGCTCGAACTGCATCACATTTATTATTTGATGAAAAGAATGACATGGAAATTAACTACAGTATATATAGAAACAGAAAAAAGGAGAACAAAAATTTACATACGCTGAGTACGCTGCCAAAACTAAAAGCCGCCAAATTGACAGCTCTGGGAAAGCTTGGATACATAACTATTTTCATGAATAATACTTGTTTGTCCTAACAGAGGACTGTAAAAGTAACACAATGGGAACTAAATCGGATCACAACATGCTGTCTTCCACTTTAAGTAAATTAGAGTAAAGCTGCTAGTCTGAACAGTATTAACGTCAACACTGGTAAGAGTATTGAAATATTTCCTTTATTTAATGGTGCATTCCTGGTCCTGGTCATGTGAAGTCACAAGCATGTGAAGCTGTGCCGGGCAGGGCCTGGTTAGTACTGTGATGGGAGGCCTCTGGGAACACCAGGTGCCACAGTACCGAAGCTGTAAAGTGCCAAAGTGTTGTTGTGTCCTTAGGCAAGACATTTAACCTCTACCCTGCAGTAACAGCTCTCCACCAGATCTGAGCATACATGAGTTGAAACTCTCTGCGCAACATTAACCCAAAGTAGGCAGCTGGACCGGACGGTGTAATGCAACAGGTGCTCAAACTCTGCGTAGATGAGCTGCCATCTTCAATCTGTCCCTCTCCACTTCCTGGATTCCAGCCTGTGACGCTCAGATACTTGTTTACATCCTGCCAACTTCGGCACTTTATACGCTCTATTATCATCCATCCATCCATCCATTTTCTTCCGCTTTATCCGTTGCCGGGTCGCGGGGGCAGCAGTCTAAGCAGAGACGCCTAGACTTCCCTATCAGCACACACTTCCTCCAGCTCGTCCGGGGGGACCCCAAGGCGTTCCAAGGCCAGCTGAGAGACATAGTCCCTCCAGCGTGTCCTAGGTCTTCCCCGGGGCCTCCTCCCGGTGGGACGTGCCCGGAACACCTCCCCTGGGAGGCGTCCAGGAGGCATCCGGAACAGATGCCCGAGCCACCTCAACTGGTTCCTCTCGACGTGGAGAAGCAGCGGCTCTACTCCGAGCTCCTCCCGTGTGACTGAGCTCCTCAGCCTATCTCTAAGGGAGTGCCCAGCCACTCTGCGGAGGAAGCTCATTTCGACCGCTTGTATCCGCGATCTCGTTCTTTCGGTCATTACCCAAAGCTCATGACCATACTGTAGGTGAGGGAGGGAACGAAGATTGACCGGTAAATTGAGAGCTTTGCCTTTCGGCTCAGCTCCCTCTTTACCACAACGGTCCGATACAACAACCGCATCACTGCGCACGCTGCACTGATCTGCCTGTCAATCTCACGCTCCATCCTTCCCTCACTCGTGAACAAGACCCCGAGATACTTGAACTCCTCCACTTGAGGAAGGACCTCCCCACCCACCTGAAGAGGGCAAGGCACCTTTTTCCGGTCGAGCACCATGGCCTCAGATTTTGAGGTGCTGATTCTCATCGCAGCCGCTTCACACTCGGCTGCAAACCGCCCCAGTGCATGTTGTAGGTCCTGGTTCGTTGGAGCCAACAGGACAACATCGTCTGCAAACAGCAGAGATGAAATTCTGTGGTCTTCGAACCGGACCCCCTCCGACCCCTGGCTCCGCCTAGAATGTCTATTATCTAGTCTATAGTAATGATAATAGTCTATTATCATGCTCAAAATATTTTTTTGTGGTTTTTGTTACAATGACAATAAATTGTTGAATCTTATTGAATCTTGAATCTTCACCCATATTGCCTAGAATGAGTCTGGTGTGTGTATGAATGGTTGGTAGTCGGAGGGGCCGATGGTACATACTGATGCCTCGCTTCTGTCAGTGTGCCCCAGGGCAACTGTGGCTACAGTAGTAGTTTATCACCACCGTGTATGGAGAAAAGTATAAAAGTACAAGCTTTTGTTGTTAAAGCTGTGGTGCCGAATTTTGCCACGGGGCGACAGTAGCTCGTTGGTAGCTTTGGCCTAAGCCCAGAAGGTCGTGGTTCAATTCCCACCTCTGCACCTTCTCCACCGACTCCACTGATGGGAACTGCTGCTCGTTGTGTCCTTGGGGCAAGACAATTAACCCCCACTTGCCCAAAGCCCCACTGAAAGATCAAGGCTATGCTCACACTCAGAGGAGCAGCGTCCTCACTGTGGACTCATCACCTGCAGAGGTCAGTGAGGGCTGGTGCATGAGACTGGGTGGCATCTCTGACTGTCACCCCCCCTGACCCAGAGATGGGATTAAAGGGTAGAAATATGGATGGATGGATGGCCTAATTTTCAAAAGCCATCTAACAAGTTCCTTGATATGAAAACAGTTGTATCATTTAGTCACATGGTAAAATTGGTAAAAATGTGAATCTCAAGACTCAACTTTATTGAGAAAATTCTGGGTCAAGCCAATGGATATTTGAGTTGCCCAAAACTGGGACATAAAATGTAGTTGCATTATGTATGGATGATTTCATTGTATACAGAAAAGTGACACAATCTAGAAATATAATTATATTTATTCACAAATGTATTATAATTTACAAAGCATTTGACATAAAGAATTCTTGGCAGTGCATACAAAATAACAATAATAATTGTTTAAAGAGTCACACTGTTGTTCACTAGAGACTGACACGTACAGAACTGTCCCTCGATCCCGCTCCCATCCCATTACTTACAAGATGAAGTAAGATTACAGTAGTTTGAAATCATCCATGTTATATTTCTCCTGAACATATTTATTTTCCTTTCCTGTCCTGAATCAATATAACATATCATTCCCACGGAGGTAAAAGATGAATACAACTTTTACAAAAAGAAGAAAAAGTACATTACATTTGATAACGTAATAAATCATGTAAACACAAGTTGCTTATCTCTGATTGCAGGAGTCGAACATGTAACAGCGTTTGTTTAAAGCACTGTTTGAGGAAGAGACAAGTCACAATATCCACAAGACATTTTGACAATGTTTAAACAAACTGTGTGTTCAGTTCACACTATGGCCTTATACCCTCACCAATAGTAAATCATCTTTTTTTTTTTTGTGCCAAAAACTTTTACTTAGAGTAAATAATTAGACTAGAGTAAAAGAACAGCAGTAAATGCAATGAGCAGTCTCCAAGGCTGTAGAAGCACACCAGCAGCTCCTGACAGAGAAAATACATGTATTACATGTGAAATAGTGCACAATAAATGCATGTATATATTACATTAACTTACTTAAACATGAAGTCTCTTTATACGGGCCCATCTTCTCACTTGTTTTGACCGACTCCAGGAGCGCGGGGCTAACATCAGCTTTGAGACACAGATGTGAAAAACCATAATTATAAGCTTAAGTACTGGTTGAGTCCTGAATGGTTAAAATACCTCTTGTATTTTAGTAGTGACTGAGAATATGAACAAAAGTGGTGACAATACAAAGATGAGGTAGTATTAAGCACAACACCAAAATCAGGTCTTATCGAATGCTCAATGATTCATTCAAGTGCTTTAAGGCACAATGGCTTGGGCGTGTCCAGTATTTTAACAACAGTCATTTGATGTTTTAATTATATGTCAATTTTGGGCAATTACAGATAATAATACCGTTGTTTCTGCCCAGTTATACTTGTGTGGGTTTTAGCTAACATTGCAGCCAGTCGAGCCCTTGTGTACAGGGAGATCTCTGTGTGAGGGCACGGTGTCCGGTGGCTCAGTCATTTTTTAGGTTTCTAAAGTGTTCAATGGGTGTGATTGTGCGTTCAACATATAATCTGGCTATCAAGGAGTGCGATAAGGAAATGGGGACAACCTCACAGAGTGCTTTTAACATGCAAGGAGTGGAAGTAAAAGAAAGGTGTATGTTTCAAGGATTATGAAAACAGCATTATATCATCTCTTTCCTGCTGAAGCCTTACCTGCTAGCATAAAGCTGACTCTCTGGCAGGTTTCATTAGACTGGGGAGAGCCAGGTAATATGGTAACTTGTGATATTTCAAGCTGCAGAACATTAGCCACTCTCTTTCTGAAGTCATACCTAACAAGGCAGAGAAAAAGCAAATACATTCATGTGTTGTAGTCAAACACTAAAATACCATTGCTAAGTAAATACAAAGAAATGACTTGATTATTTTACTTTTCATCATACACATATTTACTCTCAAACACCAATTTTTCTATTGCTTGAGGATTCTGACATATACAACACCTGCTGAATTGAGGCACTTTCTGAAAGGACTGCTCTGCTGAGGGAGATTCTGGGAGAATATCTGCACAGTCAATGATGCTGTCCCCATTCTTAACAACTAGAGTCCGGCGAACCACTAAAACAAAAACATGAATGATTTTGTTTAATTAAATAGCGCAACAGGGTGAATACAATTGTATAAACATGTTACCAGTGAAGTCTCCTGTGAGTGGAAGTATGCTGTCAGTGAAGAACTGTCTGTGCGTCAGACTGAGCGCACTCTGCCTCATCGAGAACTCTCCAACAGGACAACTCAGGGGACTGTATATAGAACACGTAGGGCTCTGTAAAAACAAATCTGTGAAGTTAATTTTGTTTCATCTGCTTTGTTGACAAATTGGATAAGTGTAACTTACCGTGATTGTCATATTGAAAGGGTTGTACAATCCTCCGTTTTGAGAGCATCTCTGTTCACCTATCTGATCCGTTGTGATGTACATTGAAAAGTTTCTCTAAAAAGCCAAAATACACAGACTGAAGTTAGGAGTGATGTGGGTAATGTGGAATAAAACTTTTAGCGACAAATCAGTTTTCTAATTTATTTTATATTGTAAAATTTACAAATATAGTACAAATATAAGAGTTGTACAAGACAAGAAGATATTTCATTAAAAAAAAAGGTTGCAGTCCAAAGTAATTTAACGTAATATTAATTCTTCTGAACTCTTAATGATGGGAATTCCTCTCCAGTAACTGGATGATATCAACTGAATGAACAAAAGTCATAACTGGATTAACTGCATGCCCAGCTATCGATGACAGACTTGCGTTGCATTGTCTGTGCTCTCTGAATTGAAACTTTAGTCGGGTCTTTTGTTCTGGAGGATAAACAAGACTGCCGTAATTCGAGAGTCACATTTTAGAAAGTCCAGGCTGTACTTGGCATTCGACCTCTCACTGGTACAAACTATGATAACAAATAAGTAACTCTCCCATTATTAAGTACTACATTTATTTAGTGATCGGGCAAAATTGTATTCAATTCACAATTGAGTGATTGTTTGCACTTACAGTGGTCACCTCTTCAGCTGAGAGGAGAGCTACTTCAACTGTAGTGTCCATGCTGCTCCCATCAGAGAATATTTGTTGACGCTGTAATCATAGAAAATATGAAAAACATTATTGAAATAAAATGGTAATTCATTGAACTCTTTATATTTTTATTGTACATCTCAGAGCTGGAAAAGCTCAGTAGGGGCTTTGGGAGAGAGCTGACACAGACAGCTGTTGGACCAGGACACTAATGCTTCTGCAGCGCTGATAAACCAGCTCAAACCCGGGTGCAGCCGGAACACACTTACAATTTAAAAGTGGCAACTTGAGTTAAAAGATAAAAATTGCCATGATATGTTTAGGGCTGGACATATTGTTGAATACTTTACAGTTGGTGCATTCTGTCTTATGGGTAAATGTGTGTATTGAACGGCTGGCAATGGAGGATTGTCATACAATACTATAATAGCGGTATTCATCTGATGACAATTTTTAGCCAAAAAACTAAAAGGGGCTTGTTTGTATTCGCCCTGAATCCCTACAAATTTCACACAGACACTTACAGTAGTCACTGATTGACAGATGTACCTACTCCCTCACATGTGCAACACTTGTTTTTGCGGTGTGACTGGGAGGTGTTACAATCGACCTGAGGTGTTACAATCAGCCCAAAAAGTAAATACATAAAAGCAAAAAATATTTACGAAAAAAATAGTCCTGTTTGAAACAATTACACATTTCAAAGTCTACAAACAGCAGCAACAGTTTGCAGAGCTACCAGGATACTAAAGTCTACTATACTCTACTGTACCTGTACAATATGTTTAATTCTCCGCTTCGTTTGATAACCGGTGCGACCAAGATTCACTTTCTGATTAAAGGTAGCCTTTAATCAGAAAGTGAATAGTAATGGAATAGTAGCATTTTTGTTGCCATTAAGGAGAAGAAAAACTATGTCTTAAAGATCTGGGGAATCTACTGTAGGTGACACACAGATCTGTTTAGCTGTGTGAAATAATGCCGGATTATAAACTTCTTTTAAATTAAATAGACTGTGATTATTTATGGACTTTATGATATTTAAATGTTTTGCAAAGCAGTATGAGTTGCATTACCATTGTCACTGTCCCTGTCAGAGTACGGTTGAAAACTGCTTTAGCTTTCGCCCAGTGTCCATCTTTGTCCTTATCTGCTTTGATGTCAGCACAACGCATTCTGGATTACAAGAGGGAAATATGTGTTTGAAAAAATAGCATCATTATAATAACAACAACCTGGACTACATCATAAAAATAAATGGGCAATATTTTAAACAAATAAATGCATCCGGATTTAACTTGTTTTGTTATCAATTCAGGATGAAACTTTTATCAGTCAGATTCTTAAATAAACTTTCTTGAAGTTCAGTCATATGGATGGAGCTTGGAGTGGAGCCACTGCTGCACATCGAGAGAAACCACTTGAGTTGTGGCTCGTGCATCTGTTTCAGATACCTCCAGGCATCTGAAACAGATGAAGACCAGGACCCGCTGGAGGGATTATGTCTCTCAGCTGGCCTGGGGACGCCTATGTTGATCTACTCAGACTGATACCATCGTGACTCGGTGCCGGAGGTAGCGGTAGAAAATAGATCTGGCTTTTAGAATACGTTTATTGAAACAAGTTCTTACCTTGATCCATTGGTGTAGTGGACCACCACAGATCTGCCAACAACGCTATTCGGCCCAGTGAGTGGTAGGAATGGATCAGAGAAAACAGCCTCGAGCTTGTTGAGCCCTGTCAGCATCCCAAACTTCCCACTTAAGTCGCCCACTTCATACTGGTCCAAGGTGCCCATTCCAGGAGGAGGTGAGTTTGAAATATTCCAGTTCAGTGGGTTAAAGTGTCCCTGAATATTTGCATTAGAGCAAGGATCTGATCGCTCAGGTATAATGGGTAGTACATGGACATGATAACCTCCTGCTTGTGAACTCAAATTAGTTAGAGAAACTGAGATCTTTGTGGGACCTTGTGGGTGGGACTGAGAGAGCTGAATCTGCCCATCCGATGTTGCAGGTCCGTGCCAAGTTCCAAGAGTTGTCTGGGGAGACCGCACCACTGTTATATTGGCACAAGCTATCCTTGGCCCTCCATTTTCTTCTTGGTGGATAACTATAGATCTTCCAACAATTCCCGCCATCCATGAAGTTACGTCAGTGAAGAAATATTTTGCCTCCACTCCACTCGGATTCATACCCAGGTTGAGGGTAGTATGTTTACCAGACAGATCACCAACCTCACAGAACAAAGGGTTTGCAGAGTTGCAGAACTCGCTATAGCTGGGAAGTTCTGTGTCAACTTTAAAGGGGTTCCAGTGACCCCCTGTTGTGGTGCATCGTCCGTCAAAGTCATCACGTTCAGAGCTAATGGGATAACTGTGGAAATGCCAGTTGTGATTTTTTGTTGACTTTGCAGCTGGATTGCCATTGCTTAGATACAAAAAGATTGATAAGTCAGACAAAGGGTAGTTTTTAAGTTGAGTGAACCAAGCCTCACCAATAACAGGACTGAAGAATCTTGCCTTGGCTACGTCTACCTCTCCAGGATAGCTAATACTGGCACAAGCATATCTAGATCCATCTAATTGGTGGATAACAACAGAGCGACCTACAATACTGTTCTGTCCATACAATGGAAGATTATAGTCTGTAAATACTCCCTCAGATTTATTTTTACCCGATAAAGACATGTGCTTTGTACTGAGGTCTCCTAATTCATATTTGTCATGAGTGGACCCAGGACCTTTTGGATACGCTGGATCATTAGTGTCTAATCCAAATGGGTTCCAGTGACCACCTACGTTATCATTTGAACAAATGCTAGAAAAAGGATTCCTGACTGAGGGGACTGGGAAAAGGTGAACGTGGTATGAACCAACTTTACTTTGTAAGTTCGTCAAATTCACCATCAGCTCTGTTACACTGAAAGGCGAGTCCTGTCGGAAGCTAAAATACCCCTTTATGCCTCTCATATTGAACATGGCATTAACTTGTTTTTCTGGTAAGTCATAGACTTTGGCACACTCATATCGTTCCCCGTCTTTCACAACAAAACTCTCCATGCTTATGTTAAAATTTTCCATATCCCTTCGATTTTTTTTTGGTTGCATAGTGAGAGAAGAATTTAGATCAACAGTAGGTGTTAAAGAATTCATTGTATCACAGGTTTCATTAGCAGTAAAAAAGCCAGATGTATTTTTTGCCAGATCAAAGAGAAGCCACTGGTTGGGTAGTGCTGGACTGTATCGTAAATAAACATTTCCAACTATGGATCCAGTGAACCTGGCCTGGCGTGTGAAGAGCTTTTGACCTCGGCTAACGACGGTGCATACTTCAGTGCCATTACAAGTGCGCAGAACCAGTGAGTAGTCGTCTAAACTTGACTGAAGAGAAAACAGCTGAGAGACATTGACAACAGAGTTTGGGTTGTCAGCAGTGAAGCTGAAAATTCTTTGTCCGATATGGGTTTCTGAGCAGGGCTGAGCGAAGTGGCCATACATGACTGGAAACACAGTGATGGACAAATTTAAAGAGGAGCAAGATCCAGCGCCGGAGATGTTGAGGGTGGCCATCTGTGAAGTGTTGTCAAACAGAACCTGTCCTGTAACACCACCCATGTTCAGAGACGCAGAGAACTGCGTAGCACAAGCACAATCTGAAATAAATAAATAAAAAACAAAAAAAGCTCTCTTACTATACAAGAAATGCCTTAATTATCAATAAATTTACCACATTGAAGCTCAAATCATATGTTTTGCCTCTACAAATTACTGCATTTTATTAATTTGCTGCAGGAGAAAATACAATTACAATTAGTTGGATAAAGTTCACAGCCGTTCTCTGTCACATGATTCTAATTGAAGGCATAATTTTACAAAGTTATCCAAAGCAACTTTTATTGTACATTTGGAAAGCTTTAAAACTGCTTGAATAATGTTCAGGGCATCTGACAACTCTGCTGCCTCATCACATCATACTAAACCTATTCCTTGATAAAGATCCACACCAAAATGACAAATGCAGCTAATTTGAAATTCTGAATGACATTCAAAAAAATCAAGGTGTATCTAAGTGTGTGGAGTTACTATTTAGAATTAATTAGCAGATGATTTATCAGTTTAAAAATTTTTGTCTTGTGTATCAGTGAGAGGGGTTGTTGGACCCAATTCGGCATCAGTTTTGTCAAACCCCTTTTCAAACTTTAAATATTGCTGTTTTGTATCCTGTTCATTGTATCCCATGAAATGCAAGTTTGAAGTACTTTATTGCTTACTAATTTGTTGAAGAAATAAAGATGTAAATGAACTGCCAAGTTATCTGATCTTAATCATAATCCTGAGAGATCCATGCAATTTTAAGTTTATACACAAATGTATAAAGTTTTATGTTACTTTGTATACTGTCTGCTCTAAGTCATTATTAATTATAGTCTAAAATTTTATATTTTCGTATCAAATCTGCAAAAAAAAAAACATTTCAGGAATGAGAGTGCCTCTAAAATTATATTAAAATGTTAATCATTTACATTTGAGCAAACCAAACCAACACCCATGCAAATGAGATTAAGATACTGTTAACTCACCATACAGTAAAATCAGTAGAGCTGCCGTCACAAATCCCATGTTGACATGTATGTTGAAGACAAATAGAAGGATTCTGTATAAATGCAGGCACACAAACGGGACTCACAGCAGCAGCAGTGCAGATAAGTGTGTGTGTGAGAGTGGCGCTCAGCAGACTGCCTCCTGACATGTGCAGCCAGCGCACTGCACAGCGGACACCTACTGTCTCTGCTGGCCTCTGATTGGTTGACAGGGGGCTCTTTGTGCAGCTTTAGGGGAGGCACATTTGTAAACCAATACATAGTCATTCAATTTATAGAAAAACAAGGAAAATGTGATATAAAATTTGGGAAATATAATTAAAACATTTTTTACTTGGCATATTATCTGAATTTTGTGAATTTTCCTTAAATGTATTTGAAGATGGTAAACATGTTCCAGATTGTAACACACATGAAGCTTGGAAATGATATGTTGTAAGTGTCACCTTGTGTGACCAAGCTGCAAGTCCAAGTAAATTCACTGGTGGCAGATGTACAGAATCTTAATAAATCCTACTTGGGTGAAATTGCACTTTTCAATTTAATTAGATTTCAAATAAATGTATTTTTGTATAGCTACATCCCAACAGTAGTTGTCTCGGAGGACTTGGTTGTCAATTTTTCAATACAGATCAGAAAATTATATTGTTCAAACACTGGATTTGCAATAATACCAAACACATTGGAGCCGTAAGGGGCAGACGACCAATGTCCATAAATGTTAATAAAGGTCCATAAATGTCCTTAAAGGTCCTGGATCATCACCACTGTTCTTAGACCCTGCCTCACCGGCAAGGAACAACTCGAAAAACCCAGTGGGAAAAAGAGGCCAAGCAGTGGAGGACTGAGGCGTCACCCAGGCAGGGGGAGACAGTCCACAGGTGCAGATGGAAGAGGGTGAACAACAATGAACAGACTACAGCTGAAGTCATAATGATGACAGATGAAGTAGGAAGAGGATAGTGCCCAAGTTACCATACTTCTCCCAGAGAAGTGCCTCCATTTCAATTGACTGACAATTTGTGTTTTAAACTTAGGGTTATATTTCTAAGTCTTACCCAAGTTTCACCTAACTAACCATATGCTGAATTAAAGAGGACTGTTTTAAGCCTAGCCTTGAACGAAGAGACCATTTCTGCTTTCTTGGCGTGGATGGGGATCTGATTCCATAGTATCCCATATTCTGTGGTAGCTCAACATTCTACCTCCTGTGCTACTTTTTGACACATTAGGAACCACCAGAAGTCTGACGTTTTGCGAGCACAGTGCTCGGTTTAGTTGCTAATGTTCTTGTTTGTAATGTTTTTCTCCTCGGCAGGAGCGATTTGGTTGACTGTACATGTTGTAAATGTGCAATACAGATAAACTTGACCTAAAAGTCTCAAATCATCAACAAAGGCACAATTAATAGTCTAAAGAAAACAATGTCCAAGTTTTTAGTTTACTTGAAAGAGCTCAATCAATTTCTTTATAAGCATGCATGTGCTTGTTACACAATAGTCACGTATCTGGTTAGTCACGTTTCTGGAGTCCAGAGAAATTAGAATAATCAATCAATAGTCACACCTTTTTAAGAAATGCATTGACTCTTTGTCCTTGGCTGTGAATAACTTCCTTCTCCATCTTCAGAATCAGAATTATTTATATTGGCATTTGTAACAGGAAGTCACACACTAGGAATTTGTTTTGGCTCAAGGTGCAAACAAGTTATAAAAATAAAAATCTTCAGCGGGACAGGAGGCTTGAGGTCTTCCTGAAGTCCACAATCATCTCCTTTGTCTTCTAGGTGTTCAGCTTCAGGTTATGACGACTGCACCAGGACACCGGCCGGTCCACCTCCCTCCTGTAAACCGACTCATTGTTGTCAGTGAAGAGTCCGCAGAGTCGTGGCTGGAGATGCAGTGGTTCAAACATTGTTTGGATGTTTTGAGGGAGCTAATTTCTAGACTTGGAAATGATCAATAATGATTTTATTTGTCTTCAAGCTTTAACATTTGAGCATACCTATAAGTTTAAAAAATGCCTTACATGAATAATGTATGTAAATTAAAAGTGTTTTGGCCCAAAAACAAATCCTTGGGGGACTCCACATACTATATTTCTTCTTCCTGACATGTGCCCTCACCTGATCATACTCCTGTCTGTTTTTTTGTGTGGTTTTTTTGTAATTCTTCTGTAATTTTTTATTGTTATTTGTTACAAGAAACTTTGTTTCACACGATGTTTACATATTTTTGATAACCAGAAAAAAACAAACCAAAAAATAGACAGAAAATTAAAAATAAAACAAAAAGAAAGACAAATAGCAAAGGGGTGCATAAAGTATTCCAAATGATTCATACAGAATCATACAAATTCCGGGCGTTTGGGTATAATGTACGTCTTCCATTTTATCCATATTTTGTCAAATTGTGCATTTTGGAGCCTGTTATATAAGGTTATTCTTTCCATTACAAAAATAGAACACACCAAATTGTGCCAGTCATCTATAGTCGGAACCTCTGGCTTAAGCCATTTTCTGGTGATGGATTTACGAGCTGCTAAACTTAACATTCCAAATAGGCATTTTGTAGCAAAGTCCGTATTCACAGAGTCAAGACAGCCGAATAGCAGTTCGTCCCAGTTTAACGCAAATTGCAACTTCAACATTATTCGGATCTCAGATTGAATATTGTTCCAAAAATTCTGGATTAATGAACACGACCAAAACAAATTGTAAACCGCTTTGTGACTCTGGTCTGTGAAAGGCGGTATATAAATAAAGCTTACTTACTTACTTACTAGATGCAGGTGGTCGGCCCCCTCTGTACCACAACTTCTCCAGCAACTGGATGAGCCTGAATAGTGAGAACTTTGTGCTGGTGTTATAAAAAACCTGCTCAAGGACTTCCAGCCAAAGCATCTCCATGAATTTGCACTCGTGATTTTCCATTGAACAGCAGTGTTTAGACCAGGTTTCCTACGTCATAGCTGCAGGGTTTCCTCCAGAGGGGGGGATGGGGGGGATGAGTCCCCCCCAGCCATGACCCTAGAGGGGGATATCCCCCCTCAATTTTATTAGACATGCATGTATACAATTCTCACATCAAAAAGTGCAATAACATTATCTTCATTGGCATACATCTGATCTGGCTCACTGTCTAATCTATAATCTAAAACATGATAGTAAAAAAATTACATAAAAACACCAAATCAGAAACTTCCGTACAGGAACAATGTGTTCTGAATAGGAGTCTCCTCAGCTGAATAGCGGTTCTCTTTTTTGAGGTCTTGCAGATTTATTTTTAGCGTGATTTTCACTGTACATGAACTTGGTGTGTTCATCCTGATTGGCTAAGGACGAACCAGTGTATTGTGTTCTGCGTCCTGATTGGCTAAGGGGTAATCTCTGTGCCGTGTTTCCTGTACATCACAGCATTCAGCCTGACAAATGTAAATCCATGTCTGATTGCAGTGTGACTGTAAGTGTTGTATGCTAATTTTCTCCTTGACAAAACCGTGGACTAAACCCACAACATGGTTAGTGCTAAAAAGTTGAACTTCTGGACATGTTGCAACGATGACAGCAAAGAGGAGCACGGTGCGGGGCCCAGGCCATTGACGAGGGATTTTCACACAGCACTAAGACCATTTTTTTCTAAAAAAATTAACAATTTTGATTTCAAGATTTCAAAAGGCTATAACTTTAAAGTTTGAGATAAAGGCATTTTGTAAATGAAACCTATCTTTAGTATGAACCAAACTTTGGGATGGAAGTTGATTCGTCGTCTAATTTGCATATTGTGACGACATCAAGGGGGTGGCCATTTTGGAAAATGTTAATTATTGTTACAGTGGTGTTCTGGACCCCAAAGCAGAGACGGAGACAGAGCAAAATTAAAAGAGGATTTACTTTGCACAAACGAAAAAACTTACAGCAGGCAGTTGAGGCAGGGAGCTGGCTGGCTGGTCAGGAAAAGGAGGACCTGAACACAGGACACAAAAAACCATAAGACAAACCAAAAAGCACTAATTTCAGACTGTTGCTGTTTACTGACGTTTGACATAGTATAATCTGGCAGAGGCGAAAAGTTCCAACCAGGTACTTGAAGCCAGGGTGATGAGGAACAAGTGTGTGAGCCCACACACACCTGCTGCTGAGCCAGCCACGCCCCCGGTCTCACACATGCCTTGAAAACATGCAGAAAGGGAGGGGGGAGGCATAGCAAAACCCAAACCCAACAAATTATTGTATAAAGATTTCAAAAAGCTGTAGTTTGAGAGTGTATTTTGATATCAGGGAATACCATCAACAGTCTACGTGAAATATCTTTAGTATGAAAACACAATGTGGGATAGAAATAAATTCACTGATCAAATTTATATAGAATATTTTAGCACTGGTCCACGGCCATATGGAACTTTATATGTATAAGACCTTCAATGATCAAGATGGCACTGCTTATAGTTTACCAGTCATGAAATCTGCAGTTTGGTTTCAATATTACCCTTTCAAAAGACCTGGTGGGTATACAGTTTGTCTCAGTGGAAATCAGATTCATTTATTTGCCATTTGCAGTTAAAACCACACAGGAAAAACTGTGCAAGACTACCCCGGTGTGCACCAACGACACACACCAGAGCTCTTGCCATGGCACCATCTTTACGGCGCCATGCGAAATGAGGCTCCAGAATTCATCGTTTAGAAACAGAGCGATTAAATGAATGGGCTCAGAACTTGTCAGATTGTCTCAACAATAAACAACAGGCTCTTCAACATTTCTGATCCACTTTTATGGATTCTCTTCTCTAAAGAACTGCCTTCATCATCATCCTCTCCGTCCGTAAAAGGCAGATTAGCGGTGCGTTTTCTTCCGTGGCTTCTGCCACGTCTCCCGCGTTCCCCGCGGTTGTTTAACCCCGCTGCATTCACCCATATGCCCGGTGTTATGATCCCCCTGTCCCCTTCACCACGTCTCCTGTCTGGTGTTCGCAGAATGTTACCACTGTGGCCGCACACCACCGCGGTAAAGTGGGCCG